TCTCATTCTCGTATATTCTCGTGTATACCATTTATAAATTATGGTTTATGTAATTATGTTTTATGTAACAGTCTTCAGGATAGGGTTCCATATATCATTTATAAATTATGGTTTATGTAACAGTCTTCAGGATAGGGTTCCATATACCATTTATAAATTATGGGTTATGTAACAGTCTTGAGGTTAGCGTTCAATATACCATTTATAAATTATAGGTTATGTAACAGTCTTCAGGATAGGGTTTCATATACCATTTATAAATTATGGTTTATGTAACAGTCTTCAGGATAGGGTTCCATATAAAATTTATAAATTATGGTTTATGTAACACTCTTCAGGATAGGGTTTCATATACCATTTATAAATTATGGTTTATGTAACAGTCTTCAGGATAGGGTTCCATATAACATTTATAAATTATGGTTTATGTAAAAGTCTTTAGGATAGGGTTTCATATACCATTTATAAATTATGGTTTATGTAACAGTCTTCAGGATAGGGTTCCATATACCATTTATAAATTATGGTTTATGTAACAGTCTTCAGTATAGGGTTCCATATATCAAATATAGATTATGGTTTATGTAACAGTCTTCAGGATAGGGTTCCATATATCAAATATAAATTATGGTTTATGTAACAGTCTTCAGGATAGGGTTCCATACGTCAAATATAAATTATGGTTTATTTAACAGTCTTCAGGATAGGGTTCCATATACCATTTATAAATTATGGTTTATGTAACAGTCTTCAGGATATGGTTCCATATACCATTTATAAATTATGGTTTATGTAACAGTCTTCAGTATAGTGTTCAATATACCATTTATTAATTCTGGTGGATATACAGTTACAAGATAGGGCTTCATATACCATTTAAAAAATATAGGATTCCATAGAAATATTGATGGATTTAACAATCTTCAAGATAGGATTCCACACCATTTAGAAATTTTGATGAATTTAACAGTCTTTAAGATAGGATTCCATACCATTTAGAAATTTTAATGATGTAACAGTCTTCAGGATAGGGTTTGATTGATTTTATTTGCTTTGATTTGATTCGATTTTGTTTGATTTGATTTGATTTGATTTCATTTCATTTGATTTTATTTAGTTTAATTTGATTTGATTTGATTTGGTTTGATTTGATTTGATTTGATTTGATTTGATTTGATTTGATTTGATTTGATTTGATTTGATTTGATTTGATTTGATGTACATACACCAACTAAAGTAAATTTTTGTTAGATTGAAATATTGCATGTTTTCAAACATAACTCTTGTTTTAGAATTGATTTATTGATTAGGAAAAAGTTTTATATTCCTTACATGGCTACCAGACACTCTCGGGTAAAAAGTAACAACTGGATGAGTTCGGAATCGAAAAGTAATACAGGTAATTCTTCATTTTTACTTTTTCCCTTCTATACTTTTAGATTGTATTGAGTTGATGCAAGAGTAAGGGAAAGAATGTGTACAGAGCATTGTTAACGTAACTAAACGATTTTATTAGTTGAAAGGTGACTTGTTATAAAAAATCCTGATATCATAATTCTCCCAGAATTTAATATTTTTACTCAACTGCATGAATACGCAAGAAATCTTAGCAACTGAATATATGAAATGTTGAAAACACAATACATTTTAAAGTCTCCAAAACTTGGTGTTATGATCCATGAATATACAGATAAACACACTGAATATATTATACTTTGTTTTAAAACAGAGAGAAAGATAAACAAAAACGAAAAATATCAACATTTAACGCGTCAAAGGTTTAATTATTAGTAAAATTACGCGAGTGCAAAGTCGTGGGTATGAAAACAATTGTATAATTCCCTTCTAAAAGAGTGTAATATATATATAAATGTATGAAAAACTATATTATCCACGAGGAACCAGGAAAAACTATATTATCCATGAGGAACCAGGAAAAAACTATATTATCCATGAGGAACCAGGACAAAACCATCATATCCACGAGGAACCAGGAAAAAACTATATTATCCATGAGGAACCAGTAACAACCTATATTATCCAAGGGGAACCAGAACAAACTATATTATTCATGAGGAACCAGGAAAAAACTATATTATCCATGAGGAACCAGGAACAAACTATATTATCCAAGGGAAACCAGGAACAAACTATATTATCCATGAGGAACCAGGAACAAACTATATTATTCATGAGGAACCAGGAACAAACTATATTACCCAAGTGGAACCAGGAACAAACTATATGATCCATGAGAAACCAGGAACAAACGATAATATCCACGAGGAACCAAAAATAAACTAAATGTTCCATGAGGAACCAGGAACAAACTATATTATCCATAAGGAAACAAAAATAAACTAAATGTTCCATGAGAAACCAGGAACAAACTATATTATCCATGAGGAACCAAAAATAAACTATATGTTCCAGGAACCAGGAACAGACTATATGATCCATGAGGAACCAGAAACAATATATGATCCATGAGGAACCAGGAATAACCCATATTATCCACGAGGAACCAGGAAAAAACTATATTATCCATGAGGAACCAGGAACAAACTATATTATCCATGAGAAACCAGGAAAAAACTATATCATCAATGAGAAACCAGGAACAAACTATATTATCCAATGGGAACCAGGAAAAAACTATATTACACAAGTGGAACCAGGAACAAACGATATTATCCACGAGGAACCAAAAATAAACTATATGTTCCATGAGAAACCAGGAACAAACTATATGATCCATAAGGAACCAGGAACAAACTATATTATCCATGAGGAACCAGGAATAAACTATATGTTCCAGGAACCAGGAACAAACTATATAATCCATGAGGAAGCAGGAATAAACTATATTATACATGAGGAACCAGGAACTAACTATATGATCCATAAGGAACCAGGAACAAACTATATGATCCATGAGGAACCAGGAACAAACTATATGATCAATGAGAAACAAAAAACAATATATGATCCACGAGGAACCAGAAATACACTATATGATCCATAAGGAACCAGGAACAAACTATTTGATCCATGAGGACTCAGGAACAAACTATATATCCATGAGGAACCAGGAATAAACTGTATCATCCACGAGGAACCAGGAACAAACTTTATGATCCATGAGGAACCAGGTTCAAACTATATGACCTATGCGGAACCAGGAACAAACTATATGATCAATGAGGAACCAGGAACAGACTTTATGACTTATAGGGAACCAGGAACAAACTATATGTTCCATGATGAACCAGGAACAAGCCATATGATCCATGAGGAACCAGGAACAAACTATATGATTCATGAGGAACCAGGAATAAACTTTATGATCCATGAGGAACCAGGAACAAACTATATGATTCATGAGGAAACAGGAACAAACTATATGATCCATGAGGAACGAGAAACAAACAATATGATCCACGAGGAACCAGGAACAAAATATATGATCCATTAGGAACCAGGAACAAACTATGTGATTCGTGAGAAACAAGGAACAAACTATATGATCCATGGGGAACCAGGAACAGACGATATGCTCCATGAAGAACCAGAAACAAGCTTTATGATTCATGAGATATCAGGAACAAATTATATTATCCATGAGGAACCAGGAACAAACTATATGATCCATAAGGAGCCAGGAAGGGACTATAAGATCCATGAGGTACTAGGAACAAGCTATATGATCCATGAGGATCCAGGAAGAAACTTTATAATCCATGAGGATCCAGGAACTATGATCCATTAAGAACCAGGAACAAACTATATGATTCATGAAGAACCAGGTTCAAACTATATGATCCATGAGGAACCAGGAACAGACTATATGATCAATAAGGACCAGGAACAGACTTTATGATTTATAGGGAATCGGGAACAAACTATATTTTCCATGATGAACCAGGAACAAGCTATATTTTCCATGATGAACCAGGAACAAGCTATATGATCCACGTGGAACCAGGAACAAAATATATGATCCATTAGGAACCAGGAACAAACTTTATGATCCATGAGGAACCAGAAAAAAACTATATGATCCATTAGGAGCCAGGAAAAACTAAGTAATTCATGAGGAACCAGGAACAAACTGTATGAACCATGAGGAACCAGAATCAAACTATATGATTCATTAGGAACCAGGAACAGACTATAGGATTCATAGGGAACCAGGAATAAACTATGTGATCCATGAGGAACCGAGAAAAAACTATATGATCCACGGGAAACCAGGAACAAACTATGCGATTCATGAGGAACCTGGAACAAACTATTTTATTCATGAGGAACCAGGAACACCATGCTCTTAAGAGCGGCCAGTTCGCCCTTTCAAAGTTTATTTTAATAATATCCCATTTTTTGCCTAATATTGAAAATTTATGCAATCTTTAACATGTTTTTTGGTAATTTTGATGATGGTAATTTGAAATTATTAATAAGTGATTTTCATTTAATTATATTTAGGAAATTAACAACATGCACAAGGAATACCAAATTTTTAACAGGATTAAATTGTTAATTTCATTCATTAGTTTTGCACAAGAAACTCTAAAACGGACATTTTAGGTATATTTGACTGAGATTTTAACAGGATTAAATTGTTAATTTATAAACAGAGAAAGAAAAATCCTGAAAACGAATGGTTTAAATTTGATGGCTGGGGTTTCGTCACTTGTTTAAAGGATGGATGCAGGTCTGCATAAAAGATCAAGGAGATGATGTCCTTGACGCACTAGGGTTGATAGTCCTGAAAAATTCTGCGGCGGTACAAACTTCGGATTGTATAATGCATAAACTATGTGATCAATAAGGAACTAGGAACAAACTATATGATCCATGAGGAACCAGGAAAAACTGTATGATCCATGAGGAACCAGGAACAGACTTTATGATCCATAAGGAACTAGGAACAAACTTTGTAATCCATGAGGAACAAGGCACAAACTATATGATCCTTGAGGAACCAGGAACAAGACATGATGCATGAGGAACCAGGAACAAACTATATGCTCCGTGAGGAACCAGGAACAAACTATATGATCAATGAGGAACCAGGAACAAACTATATGATCCATGAGGACCCAGGAACAAACTATATGATCCATGAGGAACTAGGAACAAACTATATGACCCATGAGGAACCAGGAACAAACTATATTATGCAAGTGGAACCAGGAACAAACTATATGATCCATGAAGAACCAGGAATAAACTATATGATCCACGAAGAACCAGGAACTACTTTACTGGTGGACACATTAAGTGGACTATGTCAGCTGTTCTGTAAGACTGTAAGTAGAAGATCTGCAAACTATAATTAGAGTACTGAGTATTGAGTATACAGTGGTATACTGGATAAATTGTAATGTCATGCTGTCCACTGAATCCACAGACTACCTCTAGAATCATTACAAACTCCAGCTATATTTCTCCTTATCATAACTCATTCGCATTGTGTTGAAGATTTTAGAGTGAAGACTTTCCTGCGGTGGTTATTATGCATTCTTTACGCTTTCCATTGTAAACAAAGAGAATAGAATATATATTAGAGTGGAATTTAGAGAATCTCTCGGTATGATTTTTTCCAGTCCCTTTCAGCCTGAAAGGGAGTTCAAAGTGTACAAATCATGTAAATGTTCACAAATTATATGCAGTAGAGTACATTTATACTGTATGTTCTCTAGACTATCTATTTTAATTTCGAATTTTTTAAAACTGTTAAATAAACTTTATAATGAATTAGGTAATAAAAAACATCATTTGATATATAGTTATAACGGGAAATCATCGTTTGTAAAATGATCATTGGTAAATTATGAAACCAGCCTATTTCATAATTTGGTTTTCTTTTAATATTAATTTTAGATTTTCTAGAAAATGATATTCTAGGGCCCAATAGGTTATATAGCATAAATATGTGAAGTACACCTGCAGTATGGAAACAGTAAAACAAAATGGCCGTTTTACACTTTTTTCTGGTAAATTCCCCTCTAATATATATTCTATTCTGTTTGATTGTAAACTTGATCTATCAAAATTACAATTATTTTATCTTGTTACTAACTTGGGGACCCAGCGTTTCCTGGACAATGAACTTTTTGATAAAAATCAACCACCTCAAGTTCATATTTTTAAAGTAAGCTAAGAACATTCACGTGGTTCATACCGAGATCCCAAAATTTGATGCCAATCTGTCTTGGGGTTCCTGTGTTATGATCGGACATCCAAACAGACAAATAGAGATTACTACTTTTTACACTAGCCTGGGAACCCAGCGTTGCCTAGAAACTAAGTGTTCCCTTATAGGTCGACCAACTCAACTTGGAACTATTAAACCTTAAGCTTTAAACATTTCAGACGTTCTACCACACTCTGATCTTGCCAGTCTAAATTTACTGCACAAAACGTGGGTCGACTCTACACTTGGTACACTTGGTAGTCCAAACTGGACAGTGCGACTGAATGCATATACAGTACATGTTGTACCACCGGCTCGGATTATGCAACTTTTGGAGTGGGGTGACAAAGTTCCTCAATTAAAACTTCAGGCAAATCGGTCAAGGAGTTTCTGAGTTATGATCAGACATCCGATGGCAGACAGACAGATATTATAGATTTATATAGATAATAGGACAGTTTTCCTTGTCAACACTCTAGGGTTGCTCCAGGGATATCTCCCGGTAAAACAACTTGTTCGTGATTTCAGCATTAATATATCCTGGAGAATAACACAGGGGGAGGGCCTGGAGTAGGGTAGAGGAGGAGGAGAAGGGGGAAGGGGGGGGGGTATTGAGTGCATTTAACTATAGCAATTAGCAAAGTCTTTAGTAATTATAGTTGAAAGTATCTTAATAAGTTCATCAAATTATAATCTTAACATGAAACGAAACCCAAGGACCGTTTTCATTTTATTCTGGTATTTTATAGATAAAATACATGAAACAAATTACAAACAATAGTTACCAGCTTGTCTGCAAACTAAACCTTCTCCATAAGAGTCAACCCACAAAACTAGAATTTAAAACCAAAATAAGAACATTTCTGCGGTTCTCCCGAGTTCCCCAATCAAAATTTGAGTCAAATCGGTCAAGGGGTTCAAGAGTTATGATCGGACATCCAAACAGACAACCTGATGAATTACTAAGGAATTAAGTCTGTGCCACAAACTCTTACTTTATAATCCCATATATCTTTAAAACCCAATGTCGTCGACTTTAAAAATTTCAAATTTTAAGTTCTGTTATCGAAGAGTACTCTCAAATTTGTGAGTATTCTTCAATAAAGGAATTGAGTCTTTGCCACAAACTCAAATTTTCTAATCACTATATCTTTTCAGCCTAATGTTGTAAACCTTTGATATTTCAAACTTGGATTAATTGATCTAACAGAATTTATGCTTTGAAATTTCTAAGGTCCCTGACATTGAGTTGTAAAGATAAAGAGATCAGTAAATCAGAGTTTGTGGCAAAGACTCAATTCCTTTCTGACTGTTTATCCAAGTACCCTGGAGTACTTTTTATCCAAATACCCTGAGTACTTTTTATCCAAATACCCTGGATTACTGTTTATCCAAATACCCTGGAGTACTTTTTATTCAAATACCCTGGAGTACTTTTTACCCAAATACCCTGGAGTACTTTCCATTTTTGTGAATTCTTAATGTCTATCATTTCCTTCATCATCATGTATTACGTCTTATTTTGCATCCATTTTAGAGAATTCAATTCACTGATTGCTAATTAAATTGGCCTTTCTTAATATCTCGTTTTTAACCTAATGAACATGAATTTTTAAAAGTTATATTGGAGACTATATGGTGAATGCATGTAACATTTATGTAAATTACATTTTTTTCTGATTACAAAGGAAAAGAATTTTATAAACTGTCTTAAACGAATAAATATTTAAATCTCAAAAGTTAATACTTCCTCTTTCTTCAATTCCCTTCTTTCTGTGTCAAAGTAAATATTGTGTTATATTACTCCTTAGGGTTTGTCTGTGATCAATAAAAGGATAATGATGATAAATATTGTAAAGATTAGTGAATTTCAAAGCCCTGAAATCCTGTTTAGTTGCCTGCTGATGCATATTCCGGGTCCTCAGGGTGTATCTATGTTATCATAAAACAATAAAAAAATACATTCGCAGTCTGCATGGAATTTAAGAACAAGAATTTAAGGTTTTACTTTAAAACTTGCAAAAACATTTTTTTTAAAAATTTAAGAATTGGATTTGGACACTTTCAATAAGGTTACATACAATAAAGGCACAATAAAAAAATTATTTTGAAAAAAGTCCTAATTTCTGTCACTAAAATAGGAAAAAGTCAGAGAACTTTGTACTGCAAAATTTTTACTCTTAAATTTATACTTAAAAGTCACAGTGGGATAAAAGTTAAAAGTATTTGTCCAGCAAATTGAAAGGGGCGAATTTTCTTGCAAAGAAATACAAATTAACTTGTAGATTTTTCGTCAATGAGAAAGTTTTTTATTTTGGACTTTTTAAGGTGCTTTTAATTCACAGATTTTTTTAAATACTTTTTTTCTCGTGACTTTATTAGACGGCTTCAAAAGAAAAGCTCGCGCGCGAATGAGGATGGCTCGGAACAGAACACAAGGAGAATGTGGCTCAGACGCAGGATTTATGTGGCTTGGAATCCCAACCTTGATTCATTTTTCATTCAGCATGTCATTACTGACACTCGTCTCATACTCTAATTTTCTTTTTTAATCCTTATATATTTGTAACCTGATGGTGAACACATTTAATATTTCTAACTTTGACTATTTACTATGGAAGATTTCAAAGTGTATCATACTGAAGGAATTACAACATCAGATTGCAAAGATAAGAGGATTTAAATAAGCCCGTAAAAAACAATATTCAAGACATAATTCTAAATTTAACATTAGTACGTCATATTTTATAAATGTAGACGTAACATTTTTTCTTTATTGAAACATAATATATCTGCCTGTGGCTGTGGTATGATGTTCATATTTTTTTTTAGACTTCCTGAAAAATATTATATATGCCTGAATTATGATATTTAATAATGTTTTTTTCAGACTGTCTGAAAAATAATATATCTACCTGCAGTTTGATACATCATAACGTTTTTCAGACTGTCTGAAAATTAATATATCTGCCGGAAGTATGAGACAAAAACTTTTTTTTCAGACTGTCTGAAAAATAATATATCTGCCTGAATTTTGATATTTGATAATGTTTTTTCAGACTGTTTGAAAAATAATATATCTGCCTGAAGTATGATGCTCTATAGCGGTTTTTTTCAGACTGCCTGAAAAATAATATATCTGCCTGAAGTATGATGCTCTATAGCGGTTTTTTTCAGACTGCCTGAAAAATAATATATATGCCTGAAGTATGATGCTCTATAGCGGTTTTTTTCAGACTGCTTGAAAAACTGAATTTGCTTGAATAAGAAGAAATGCCTACAGACATGGGAATTTAACTCCTGATATAATTATGATTCGTCGTATGGCAACATCTCTTTAACCCCGTACCAACCCCGTACCTATCCCGTACCTACCCCGTACCTATCCCGTACCTACCCCGTACCTACCTATTTGCAACAGATGGCAGCAGCCGAGGAGAAAGTAATATAAAAAGTAAACAATATGCTATAGATGTCTCTTCTTGCAGTCTCTTGTAAGATCTCAAAATTGTACATATCTTTACTCCGTATCTATATTTGTTGAGCTGAAGGCCTCTATGGAAGATCAAATGGGCGATTTCCCAACGGGTCTCTGGGCGTCTAAGAATATTGAGAGGATTTCCCCGGGGAGGTCAAAGCCTAAGTTATTGTCCCGGGGCGTCTATAAATTCATCAAATTCGATTTCCCCGCTCTCTCTACTGACATAATCCAGCATTGATTTATTTCCAACCCAAAAATGAAATATTTTTATAAATCTTTGACATATATGGTTTTGAATGATAATGGGTTTTTAAATATCTTACTATTGGGCGCAAGTGGATTAAATGGGGTTGCTAGTGATCAGGAATAATACATTTAAACTTCTGAAAATAAATTGACAGTTTGGTTACAAAAATGTTGTTCACTGCAAATCACGAATTTTTCTATTTGAAATATGATCACTACTCGAGGGGGGTTGTTTATAGAATTCTGCCGGAGCTATGAAAATATTGGGTTTGGATACCGGAGAATCTTGGTCAAAGACAACGGTGTAAGATATAGAGGTTAATGGTTTACAATATTACTTCATCCATGGGAAAATGTGATAGTGTACTTATTATTTGTCTATTGTTTACT